AGGAACTACTTCATGTAGAATGGGCACATGAAGTCTCTGAAAAAACAACACATAAATCGACATCAAAAGAGCATAAAATCATTGGCTGTGAAAAGTGCTAGAGGTAGAAGGTTGGGAGTTAAATGACTTCCCAGGCAGAAGGAGACAAGTAAGTATAAAGGCCCTAGGTGGGAAAAGTTCTGTGTCCTATTAAGATAGTATGGCTGAAGTTGAGCCAACACAAATATTTAAATAACTCTACGAAAGATATCCTTCCAAATTATTCTTAAAATTATGCAGGTGACCAATTTTAACTACAGTGAAAAGTACAAAATAATTAAATTCATTCCTTCAATTTGAACTCTTAGAAAACACCCCCCACTCCCCAATCTGGATTCCACCGGGGAGAAATCAGTAAGATCTGTATGACTATTTTAAAAAGTTAAACAGTATTCTAAAACTTCCTACAAAATTAGGGTTTATTAAAATATGTAATTATAGTAGTGGTTAAGTGGTAACCAGCATCTTAAACATAGTGTTCTCACTATAAGAATTCAAAGAAGTTTTACAAAAAACTGTTTTACTCATTGTTCATTCTTGTGCCATACTGTAAACAGGTATATTTTCCAGTTTTAGCAGCCACAGTACATTTTAATCTAGTTCCTCTTATCAGCTGAAGAAGTCTGAATTCACAAAGATCAGATAAAATAATCCATTTAAAGTACACAGTTATCTGACACAATAACATCAGGGCAAATCTCAGAATTCTATTTAGAAGCAGGGGAAAAAAAAAACCCAACATTTCTTGTGTACTAGACAAAAACCGAATCTTAAAAATTCACATCAACGGCATAAATCAGAAAGAAAGAAATTTAGTGTTTAAATAGCCATCTAACTGTAGGAAGCATTCACCCATTCTGGGCCCCTTAACTGCCAAACACCTTGGAAACATAATAGTTGACAGACCAGGTTCCTAGTCTTCAATGAGCCTGCAACCCGATAAACCTTTTAACAAGTGCCATGATAAAAGTAGAGGGTGCTGAATAGAAGGGAGGCACCTAACCTAATACGGAAGAAGTGTTTCAGGCACAGAAACGAAGTTGAGTGTAGGGCTAGACAAGGGTAGGCAAACTTTCTGTGAAGGACTTGACCAGCCTTTAGACTTTACAGATTTTTGTTGCAACTTCTCAAGTTTTGGCAAAAGCAGCTGGCATAAGTATGGCAATGTTCCAATAAAATTTTATGAACACTGAAATTGCAATTTCATATAATGTTCATGTGTCATGAAATATTCTTCCTTTGAATTTTTTTCCTCAACCATTTAAAAATGTAATAATAATTCTTAGTACACAGGTCATAAAAAAACAGGTGCCAACCCCCCTGGTCCAGACTGGGAGAGGATAGTGCTTTTGTAGCTGACATAGGTTCACTATGTCTAGGGAAGACCAGAGAAGGCCTTTCTGATGAGGTAAGAACTGAGCAGATCTGAACATGGGAGGGAGCTACGTGGATACCTGGGAGAAGAGTGTTTCAGGAAGAAGTGCCAGGACCAAGACTCTTGAGCTGGCTTTGCCTTTTACTCTGAATGAAACCATTGGAAGGTTCTGAGTATAGGGGAAACATAATCTGATCTATACTAAATAGAATTTTCTGTCAGCTGTATTAAAAACGTACTGTATGGGGAAAAGGCCCAAAGGGGGACTGGTGAAGAGACTACTTCAATAATCTAAGTAAATAATGGTA